GTAAGGTAGAATGACTAATCATACTCCTCACCATGTCCTTAAGCGTTCTGTTTCGTCCCTCAGCAACACCATTCATAGTGGGCGAACCCAGCATAGTGTACTGTGGGATGATACCGCATTCCTCTAGGAATTTAGAAAATGGTCCTGGACGCTGTTCACCTGAATTATCATATCTGCCATAATATTCACCCCCACGGTCAGATCTGACGCTTTAATCCTTTTGCCGAGTTGGTTCTCAACTTCAGCTTTATAGTTCTTGAACACATCCAGTGACTGTAATTTTTCATGAATGAGATATACGTAGCCATATCTTGAAAAGTCATCTATGAACATTATAAAATATTGTTGACCATTCCAAGAACCCATAGGGAATGTATAAGTTCTAAGACGTCCGAAATCCTATTGGCTTGAAATCTCCTTTTATTGGTTTGTTTTCCCTTTATACAGTTGACACACAAATCATAATTTGTGAAGTCAAGAGGGTCAAAAATCCCGTCTGACACAAGTCTCTCAATTCTCCTTTTGGAGATGTGACCTAATCTCTTGTGCCACAATGAGGCAGAGTTCTCGCCGATTAATTTTTGCTTTACACCTCGAGTACTTACATGCAGGGATTCATTAAAAGAAGCAATTGTATCAATTGAATAAAGATTATCGTAGCCCCTGATAAAGAATCGGTACCAACCAATTTTGAATCATGAAACAAACTAAATATTCCATTTTCAAATTAACAAATATAACCAAATTTGTCCAAAATAGAAATAGAAATCAAATTCCTTCTAAAAAATGGTACAATAAATGTCTCAACAAGATCCAAATAAAATTCAATCTTTAACAATAATCTAAATTTTCCTATTGCCTCTACTTCCACCTTCTTGTCATCTCCAGCATAGATGTATCTTTCACCATCACTTGATTTTCGACAACTCAGGCAACCCTGCATAGATATACTGATGTGAGTTGTTGCACCAGAATCTATCCACCATGTATGTCTAGGTACCGAAGTTAAATTAACTTCAGAACAAACCAAACGAAAAAGAATACCTTTCTTTACATGTCATGCGTGGTAATTGGTGCAATTCTTCTTCTTATGACCTGCAACTCCATAGAAGAAACAACTACCTTCAGTTAGTTCCTTATGATGTTTCTTTTGCGATGTCGTACTCGCAGCTTCCTTATTAATCTTCCTTTTCTTGTTCCTTTTATCCTTGAAGGTGGTGGCCAAATGAGCACTTTCTGTATTCTCATACTTCAGTCTTTTCTCTTCCTGGACACAGTGTGAGATAAGCTCATTAAGGGACCATGAGTCCTTTTGACAGTTGTAGCTCACCTTGAATTGACTGAAATGTGCCGGAAGGGATATCAAAACCAAGTGCACTAACGAGTTTTCAGATAAATCCAACTTGAGTGCCTTTAGTTTTGAAGCAATGTAAGACATTTCCATAATGTACTCCCGAATGTTTTCTTTCCCTTTATACTTCATTGAGACAAAGTTCGCCAAAAGTGTACTTGTTTCAACCTTTTCATTCTTGGCAAACCTCTTCTCAAGATTCTCAAGGAAACCCTTAGCCGTAGTCACCTTATTGGATATAGTGCCCTGGAATGCTTCTAGAATAGCACGCTTCATGACCATTAAGCTTATGCGGTTTGATCATTCCCACTTTTTCATCTCCCTCTTGTCATTAGAGGTACTCTTATCAGTAAGTGCAGCAGGTTGATCGACCCGTAAAGCAAGGTCAGGTCCATGACTCCGAGAACAATCATCACGTTCTCTTGCCACGCCCTGAAGTTTGTGCCATTTAACATTGGAATTGAATTGATACTAGCAGAGATATTAGTAGCAGAACTTGAAACTGAATTAGAGAACGTTTATTATGAATAGCTCACATGAATATCTTTAATATGCAAATAATTATAATCTCAAATAGTGGTAGGGTCCATCACAAGATATCATCAATATCTAGTATTTGGACAGAGATATTGACTTGTAAGCAGTACTCTTGGCGTAGTGATCAAACATTGACGATAAAACAACGTGTCAGTCAACAAACCTTTCTTTGGATCGATTTATTGATCACACATTAAATCAAATAATTGTCACACATTTATCACCATAGGTGCAAGTGTATTCGGCTAAATATTGACATTCCTTTAGGCCGACCAATATTCCAATGAATAACACATGCACAAACACCTTTTAATATTCTAAATTAGTCAATTTCCACAAGAGAGGTTGCTTCGGCAACATGTTGCTTCAATTAACCAATTTTTGAATATTATATCTCTTAAAACAGTCCTTAGTACCAAAATTTGAGAAAGAAAATCACAAATTTTGCATATTTGATTTAGTTTTAAACTTTAGGGGCCTTAAGATTAATAATTCAAAACTTTAAGGGGGTTAAATTAATTAATTCCAAACTTTAGGGGTTGAAATTAATAAACTTGAAACTTTAGGGACCATAATTAATTAATTCAAAACTTTAGAGGATCAGTTAAAATAAATTTAAAAACTTTAGGGGCCAAAATTGACCAATTCAAAACTTTAGGGATCAAATTTTGAAATTTTGAAACTTTGGAGGTCAATTTGAATTAATTATAAACTTTGGGGGCCAATTTGAATTAATAATTAAAGTTTGAGGGCTTTAATTATAAATTTCAGAACTTTAATGGCCTGAATTAATTAATTTTTAAACCTTAAAAACTGAATTATTAAATCTAAAACTTAAAGGCCCAAATCTGAATATAACTTAAAGGTTAGGGACTGAAACCTTAATTTTATAAACTTAACCCTAATTGCAAACATGAGCCTCAAATTTTCTAATTTACAGAGGAAGCCCCCGCCCCCAAAATCAACCAAAAAAAAAAAAAATTGAAACCCTAAAATTTTCTTTATTTCTTCTCCCTTCGCGGTGCCCACCGGCGCTGCCCGAAGCAATGGCGCTGGCCCACGCCGGTGCCATAGGTAGCGCCGGCTACGCTGCTGCACGCAGCACCGCCGACTGCGTTGCTGCAGTCGGCTGTTGGCCGACAGCGCATGCTACAGGTACAGCCCAATATATATATATATTTTTTTTTTAATCCCAAAAATTCTACAATTCTAAATCTGAATTTTTCTTGAACCGCAATTTTTATTTTAATCCAAATAAAGAAAGACGATCAAGAATAACATATCGCAATGTTTTCAAATTCAACAAAAATAGATCCAAATTTGTTAAATTTGAAAACTTCAAAAGAATATTGCAAGAACCAAATAAATTATTTGATTCTTAATTATTCAACATGAAAAGGCTCTGATACCACTTGTAGGATAATTTAATGTTTTAAATCACCGAATTTTTCATGTTAAATCATCAAGAAATACAAGAATTAAAGCGGAAGCGTACCTGAATCAGTTATGGTTAATGCAATAATGAATTTCGCGTATAGTCTTCCAAATCTACACGCAGTGTTCTTTTTCTCTCTGTGATGGAATGCAGTAGAGAATGAATAATACGTATGTTTGATTTGGGAACCATAACCGTATTTATATAGCGACGCCCTATGACCTAATTCGGTCCATCATAGAATTAGGATTTGGGCCCGGTCTCTACACATGTAAACCCATGCTTTAATTGGATACATTAAAGTCCAAAATCGAAATCTTATTAGATCACTTTAATTGGGCTCAATCGAATTCGATAACTTTTAATTCAATACACAATTATTCACACATATAAGCTCATCGACGGATTAAAAATCCTTATAGTCCCATTTCAGAACTGGAAGGCAAGATCTTTGAAAGAATGGAACAGGACAAATTCACCTGGTCGGGTTCATGGATGCCATTATTTTTATCAATTTCAATGTTATTTACATGTAAAGATGGGATTTTTTGAGCTTGTTGTGCATTTTTGTGGTTATTATTCCTGATGTTCTTGAAAGTGTAGAGAGAGAATATGAGAATGAAGAGAGAGAGAGAAAAAGAAAGAAAAACGAGAACAAGAGCGTGAACATTGGGGAGGATGAATAATTCGAAGAAGAAGAAGAAGAGTACATATGATAAAAAGAAGAAAAGGGTTCGCCGCAATGGAAATGGAAAATCAGGGGGGAGAACGAAAAACTGACACCTGACAGAGAGAGTGTGTGTGTGCTGCAGCAGGTAGTTTAAAGTTTCCATTTATAAGTTGATTTTCAATTAATTCTTAAGTAGGAAGTTGGATTCCAAACTTCGAAAAGGAGCAAATTGGTTTCTACCTTTTAATCAAAATACTTGCTTGCTACACAATTTAGTTTCGATTGAGGGCCTCTTTGGAGCAATTTTTTAACCCAAAAAATTGATTTTTTGACCGTTATTTTACTATTTCAGCCGTCATATTGAACTTCTTCTCTCACAGGTGAACTCCATTTTTCTCCTAACGATCAAAAAATCAATTATCAAAATCACTCTCAAATAGGCTCTGAAATTCTCCAAAACTCATAAAATTGAAAAACAAAAACTAGCTTAACTTAATTAAATATTCAAGGACAATGCGTTGATCTCTTAAATATTTGAATAATTTTTGATATTGTTAGTCATTGAGAATGTTCCTAATTTTTTTATTGATCAAATTTAAGATTGACAATTTACTTTCATTGGGATACCCAAGTTATAAACTTATTTAAACATTAATTTATCACCATTACGTACTATTATTCATACATTTTTCACTATTACGCCTTTTATAAATTTGGAGAGTGGTTTTTAGCATTGAAGGACGTAATTGGCCACAATAGTGCGGATTCCTTAATTCGATTTCTTTATCTAATTTCTTTTATTAATTATTTTGGTCTCTGTTTTTTCCTTCGACCGCCACGTGAAAACAGTAACATTCAACAACAAACAACAATGTCTCGGCTGAGTTGAAGTTGTGCATACATGCAACACACAACCTATACAAAGCCCTTATGGATTTTGAGGAGGATTCGAATGAAGATTTTGTGCATATATTAGATATTGAAAAACAAAAGCTTGGGTCGAGGGATTCAAAAGCACATTCAGACGACACTAATTTATTCCATGACCAAATGTCCGTTGATGAAATTATAATAATTCGCGTACAACAAACAAGAAAAGTGTGGACTCGACTGCGAAAAGATTATTCATTCAGACCGACACGAGAGCCAAACTACAATGAGCTATACAAAGCGTAAATGCATAATGCACATTAATAGCGTTCCTCGTCCAATAAGGGTTGTATAGCCCAAAAGAGCAGCTAAATGGGACTGTTACCCTTGTATTGGATAGATTTGCCACATGGTACAAGTTCCACGTAAAAGTCACATCCACGACATTTGGATCTTCTCAGGTAGGGTGGGTCCCTTTATCCACAGGAATTGCGAACTTGTCTCGGTTTTTGATGGCTTGTGGAGTCTTTTGTACTCATCACAAGGCTGCAGCAAAAATTTCAACATCAGTTTCAGTCACTTAATCAAATTAAATCCAACAATCCATGTTAGGGCCCGTTTGAAAGGGATTTTTTACCCCAAAAAATTGATTTTTTTACCGTTATTTTACTATTCCAACCGTAATTTTTGACTTCTTCTATCACAGAAGGACCCTACTTTTCTTCTAATGGTCAAAAAATCAATTCTCAAAATTCCTCCCAAACAGGGCCTTAATTTTAATCTGAATTCTGCTATGAAACGCCAATATCGTCAGAGATGGAAGAGTAGAGGTATAAAAGTGGGCCGGGATGTGGGGCACACTTTAGGGCCGAGCCTGAAAGTCTAGGCAGTGGCTCGCATGGAGCCATACTGGGCTGCCCCAAAATTGAACCATGCCGAGCCACCGCCGAGGGTGCCGCCTATGTAGACTTACAACACAAACGCAGCACTGTGTTTATAAAACAAATTGCAAATTTAAATACAAAGACTAGCTAATCTCAACTGCTGATCCGCGAGAAACAATTGCCAAAAGGAGTAAATGATGTATATGCAGAACAAAATCAACTTCTTAGTTACAGATTATATATCTATTGTGTCTGCATTACGCTTGAAAGTCGCTGAAGGAAAAAATGGAAGCACTTGCAGCCAATCCAGTGGGACTAAAAATAAAAGTTTGGAAGGAATGACCAGTTGAAAATTTGAAATCATAGGCTTAATTAGTATATATCTTAGTAACAACTAACAAAGACTGTTCAAATGACAAAATAGAATCTTGCCTGACGTATGGCGCAAACTTGTATAAAAATCCTCACCGCCTGTAGGAAATGGAAGAAAAGAGCTATAAATTCAGTTACACATATACAACAATAATTCAATCCTCACCATAACAAGAGGTAACCTATTCTATTGCCCCTTCAAGAGGCAGTTATTTTTTAGTTTTTAATTTTTCCAAGTCATTGGATTTAGTGACATGAATTGCACGAATTCAGACCTCTTTAAATGTTAAGACATTTAAACTCTCGTTTATTTAATTTTTCATTTAGAAACCATTTCAAATCCCAGTTTCTCATGTATAAAGTAAGCCCCCGTTTTGTCCCCAATTTTTGGAAACGAAAATGAGTGAAATAGTGTTTTTTTTAAAAATGAGTGGTTGAACAAAAAGGAAAAATTTTCAGTTTATGCGTAATATTATTTTATGAAAGATTGTGTAGTTGAAAATAGGAGAGAGAAAATGGAATTTAATGTAATGAGATTCAAACGGGGGCTAAATGTACTTTAATATCTGTCTTTTCCAACAAAATGATAGCACCTAAAAAGTTCCACTTTTTCCACTTTCACAAACAACAGATATACAATAATCTTATGTCATTTTCTGGGGAGATTCTAACAGAAGGGAGAGAGGATTCCAACATGTATGCTTAACTTTTCAGGAATCAGTGATTGCATATTCTAAACAGCAACTACGTTCTAATCTCTGATGCTGATGAACACCAACAATGGTGCACGTTATACATGTAAAACATCAGCCGGCCCTTAGATTACCAACAGAGTTTACCACGCTATTCTCGAAAAACCATCGTGCCTTAGAAAGTGAAGGTGACTAAGAGGTTTTATGGCAAAACAGCTCAAAGAGCACAGGGTGGAGGGGATTGTTTCACAAGCAGCAAGAACCTTAGTTGGAGAAAGTAAAAAGAAAGAGAATAAGAAAAATTATTAAAGCATATACAAAAATAAGTGAACTCCATCATAAGCATAGACAGAAATTATCTCATTATATATAGGCAATAATTGCAGGATATAACAAGTGCAACAAAAATTGAGTTATGAAAATCATGCTTTTTAAATGTTAGAATGTGTGGAACTTACTATTTGATTTCTTTTCCATAAACTGTGTAGAAGCATCGGCAGAAAAGCCTAATTTCACCATGATCTCTTCCAACCGCTGCACGTTTGTCAGGTACAGGTAACCAACCTATTATGAGTATTACTAGTTAATACTTCTATTAAATAAATATTGTTTCCAAATCATGAACTGGCCCCTCGTATCTCATCCACATAAAACCATCTCAAGTACATAAAGGAATCTGAATGGTAACACTACCAAATTCGTAGCACGCATAACAATAAACAAGGGAACTAAAACCAAAACATAAAGATTTCAATATTTGAGTCATTTAGTAGAAGCAGAATGATGAGAGTCCTTTATAAGTCGAATCAGAACATGTCAAGAAACATACACCATGAATGTTAATCATTTTGAAAAGTAGCATGCCTGTCAAAGCATTTTTTCCATTGGAATTCAAGTTCCATACCTACTCTATTTCAACTAAAAATTTAGTTAGAATTTTGTTCAAAATTGAATTAAAAGGAAACACAAATATAAAGGTTTTTTACATGAACCAAAATATTGATGGTTCAAAAAGTAATATGAAGTCAAACCTCCCGTAAGTCCCAAAGCTCATGAAAATGTCAGCATAAGGTTATGAAAAAGGAGACAATGAAGGTTTCTTTGGCCCTAATATGAATGTTACTAAGATGGCACCCACCCATGACAATAACATTAGACAATGAACTTGCCCATTCACTGCCACCTAAAAAAACTGAAAACAGAAACATGTTTGTAAAGTATATCATACCCTAATAGCTAGATAGTATGGTAGGCAGGAAGTATCGATTAATCTCAGGGGAAAATTGGAAAGGGCACATAAAATAAAAAAAATAAAATATATAATATGTATATATTTAGTTGAAAGGAAAGTAAAATGCTAATGACGACCCAGATGCAATTCCTCTTTCTTTGTGCAAAAGATCCAAGGTAACTAACAAGTGTTTCCAGCGAAGATGCTCTATTGTAAACTGCTACACCTGCCCGCTTTTTTGTCCTCGTTTTGGCTGAACCAATATTTCTTCCCCAACGGAGCACATCCCTGCAAAAGTTTGTAAGTTAAAGGATTTACAACGAGAAAAGTCATAAGCCAATACAAACAAAATTAAGTATGACTTGGTTACAGAATTTGAAATGCTCTATGAATTTCTTTACCTTTCCACAGTCACTTAAGCTCGGTCCACATCGTTAAGAGTTTATGATTTTTCTATGCTAAAGCTAGATTGTATTAATGATTAACGACTGATTTGATGATTACCTACAAGTGAAAATTCTAAGTCATGATTTGTCTTACGTGTCCTTAAGTTGTACTCAGTAGTCATGGATAAACTGTGATTGTGGTATTTCCAATTCTTGGACCAGATGTGAAAATATATAAATATACTGGAAATCGTCAATTTGAGATATTATATTATTCAAATAGCTAAACTGAGTTTTTTGCTTAAATTCCAGATGGAGTTTATTAACTCTTACAAACATAATCATTTGAAGTCATAATACTCGCAACGACAAAAAATTTGATGTTTAGCTTTCAAAATAACAAGATGAAGTTACACTTTAAACAAGACCGACAGAAATACAATCACTTTTAGTCCAGTCTAACCAATTCATCTCAAATGGAAAAGAAAAGTTACTAGCGCCAGAATTCATGCCTGTGCTGTCATACTTGAACACTGAAACAACTGATCAGGTTAAATGAACAAGACTCAAAATTACGGCAAAAAGTTGGGCAGGAAGCCACTACAAATTCTAGTTCATGAGACAAAAAATTGGCAGTTTTGCATGTAAATTAGAAACTTAAACCTTTATCATGTATCGGTTGGCAGAATAGAGATTAGCTTGGTATGGTCTGTTCAAAGTAAGACCAGAACCCACTAAAGATTATTTACTTTCAGACAGGAACAAGATTTACACATTAAGCATATTGAGGAAAGGAGGAAAAAAAAGAAAGAAAGAATGTAATCACATACAGTACAAACCTTTCCTCTTGTGATAAGTAATTGTCATTAATGAGCTTCTGCAGCATTGCATCCTGAAACAGAGCAAGGACACTACTCATTTGTTTCTCTCGTCTCTCTTAGAAATTTCAGATAATAAGAAATGCAACTAAACACATTTACCCATTTACTATTCCACCAGTTGAACTGTTAAAAAGGATGATGAAACAGAATCACTTGGGTACACTATAACTTGTGCAAAATCCTCAACACAAACCACATCATTTTGTACCACTTTTTACTGGAATTAATTGATTAATAAATATCTAATTGACAGAAAACGGATGTAACATTCAGAGGGTCTGCGTATTGCAAGCATATCTGCGCAATTGCACTTGCATTAAACACGCGAGAGGGAGGGAAGCAAGCACTACAGTCTCACACTTTGTGAAGCTTAGCATAGATTTTTTTTTTTTTTTTTTAAAGCGGAAAATGAATAATGAAAATAAACCCAGAACTAAAAGGTATCTAAAGGCTAAGTCCCTGTGGAACAAGTACCACCAACTTGTGAAGCTGATGCAGTTAGAACTCCTTGTTAATAAGAAAACAAGTTTGAATGCAATGTACATGGTGGAAAAATGCTAAAACATCGTTAATCAATGCAAATCTTCGAAACTCCTCAATATAAAGGATATCACAGTCATACCTGGGTTTCACAACGAACCACTGCCATCACACGATCATTGTATTCTTCAATGTTCAAAGGAGGAAGCAAAAAGTGCCTGCGAGCATATAGCTGCATGTAATTCACAAGGCAAAAGAAATGAGAAATGTATTAAAAAAACAAGCCTGAAAGAAGGCAGATATCTCTTTCAAACACACAGACTAACAAGATGTGACACAGATGTATATGCTTACAACCTTCTAAAGAATTATAACATACATAGCAATCATAGTACAATTGTGTTCTAGTTTGATTATAAACCACAACCTTCAGATTGAGCACTAGACTATGCCCTTGTTTGAGCCCCCTTTTTTTAAACTCATTTTCGATCACACATTCTCACATAAAATAATTTTGCGCATAAACCAAAAACTTTTCCTTACTTTTTAACCACATATTCTTTAAAAATCACTATTACAAATCACATTTTTCCCAAAAAATAGGGCCCAAACGGGGGCTATATATCTATCTGTTATGTCCTTTGTTTCCACTCCAAATTTTGACACGGTACATTTATGAAAGACTAGAGAAAAATTATCACCAGGGCTGCTTCTTGCATTCAATTTTCAAATTTTCTACATTTTATCCCATCTTCAAACCAAATAGTACAACACTTTTAAACTACTTGGTGCTCTCCAAATTGTTGAAGTCATCATCGAAATAAACTCACGTATCTAAAAAATAAATAATTTGGCCCCACATAAAAAATCGTTAATGAATGTAAAGAACAAAATAAACTGACTAAAAAATTATCTATCGTGGATCAAAGTTGCTTAAGTGCTTCTAGGGGAAAGTTGAAGTCTCCCCCAAGAAAGAATCAAGTGCAGCAAATGAGAGCATAGCTAGAAGTAGCAAGTTTGAGATTGAACTAAGACTGAAAGGGTAGGTTCAAGAGTGGCATTCTACTTTTGGATCGATGTAGTCTTTCCATCTGTCACGTGTCTCGAACATAAAATAACTAATAAGATACCTATATATAACATCTATGTTTCTCCAGGTATGGCATTTATAAAAATCTTTGTTAAGATGAGGAATGTTGCATAGATTGGACCTCCCTGTATATATATGACTCTCTTTGTCCAACAACATAATGTATCATTTGCACAAGTTACGTTTAGCTCCTATGCCCATACCAGTGTTCAGTTTCCATTACTCCAGTGCAGGGCCTAGACAATGTCACAACCTTACTGTCCATAGCCTCCTAGCTGAGACTTTGCACTCTCGCTCTTCCTTCTATTTATGCTTCCCACACTACAGTATTTTTATTCGAGTCTGAGCTTCACTCTAAAACCTATTTTAACTATTGAGGTTACTGTTTCAGTATAATAAAACATAGCCATGTAACCAGTTAACAAAACAAAATTGTAGAATTGATATAACCATTCCCACTAAAATTCAACGTCTTCTTTCGAATTTGGTTTGAAGCCATAGAGACGACTAATTTGAAATGAGGAGATCAATCCGAAAAGTTGACATACCTCGTAAATGCAATCTCCAATATAAGCCAATGACGTGGCATTGAACGTGGAGCGAGGCTTCTCCACTTTTGGTGGACTCGGCAGCCATCTCTCGTACCCCATATACGTATCCCCCAATTCCACTGTCACGTTCAGCATACTTATAAATCAACAACTTCTCAATAAAACACAATAGATGCGTGTTTCTATCCAGAAAATCTATTATTTGCAGACCCAATAAGCCAAAAAAAAAAAAAAAAAAAAAAAANCGAGTTGGGAGACAATGAAAATTGGTCTCCAACCGGTTGTACGATAAAAATAATTTAACGAATTTTGATGACATTTAATAAAACGTATGATTAGAAAGTTGACATTTCCGTAAAATATATAATTAAAATTTCTAAGTTTAATCAATTGAAAAATTAACAAAATTACAGCAAAATTTTATCCTACAAGCGCTATTTTTGTTTTTGAAATTGCATTATGTTTCTTTTCCATTTTTTGGAGGAAGGGAAGCGAAAGTGGCTTAATCGTTATAATAATCAAGTTCGACCGAGTATCAACTGCTTGAGGGAATATGAGGAACCAAAAAGCACAAAAATCATATATGAAATTCGTAAGCTCCATTTGTTAAACCACTTCTCAACGAAATAAAAAGATAAGAGTAATTTGAGAAATTGTTCGAGGTAAATCAAGCATTACAAGGCTTCCTCCTAACTGCTTAATTGTCTACACTGAATGTGCGACAATGATAGTCAGACCGCCAATGTTCGACTAGTAACTCATCCACGTTTTGGCGGAACATATGGTATGCGCTCTTCTTCACAAATATTCTACCAAAAAAAAAAGGGAAATTATTAGTCAAAGCACTTGAGGTACATTCAAGATATAACTTATTTGATCGTTGGGAATATTTCCTACTAATTAAATTCCTCATTTTCTTGAAAGGTCCTTACTGTACTCATTGTGCAATGAGTTTTAAGTTTTAAAAAAAAAAGAACGGTGCCCGAGTGTTCTAATAGCTTAACCTTCTGGCGTCCAATAAGATGCTTCAGCTTATAAAATCGCTAACAAAGAACCCAAAGGTTGATTTTCGAGAAATTTCATTACTTTAGTTTGTAAACTTTGCTGGCACTATAACCACAGGTGTTTCAAGTTTCTTGATGCTCAAGTGTGAGGATGGTTGACTAAAGCTTAGAAAGAACAAAAGTTTGTTTCCGAATATTTAAGGATGTGTGACAATTTTCTTATTTTCAAGTCATAGTTACTATCTTGAATGAACTCTTACATTTGTTGCAGAATAAGTTACTTACTTTTCCCAACTTTGACCAATAAAAATATATATATATATTTTTTAAATACTTATTTACTTGTAACTTATAAGTAACCTTTTAAAGCTTAGCCAGGCATGCTCTAATAGAAAAAATATTTACTTATAAGTGAACTTTTTAAGCTTATGCAAAGATGCTCATAGTCAAGAATTCAACTACTGGAAATAGCATACCTGCATTTCATGGGGAAGTGCTTCAGAAACCGCGAGAGTGTAACAACCAGGAGCAAATCTTCCTGAAAAAGGTTAAACGAATCATACAATCTAACGTGATCCAAATTTTTGGGTTAAAAAATATAAAAAGCTACTGACTTGAGAATATGCATAGCATGAATAAGCATGAGGAACTACGTATTTTTCCATTAGGCGAGGTCTAATATCTTCCCAATTTCAGATCACTTGACTGCCCAGGGATAATTTTCCTCCCAGTTCTTGGCTGGAGGAATGCGCTGAGTACTCTTGAAGTTCATCAATTTATATTAATGTGTCACACATATAATTAGACACAGAAAAGTTTTCAAATTTATTCTTAAATCCCTTTCGGTCGTTATATTTGTTTTAGCCGTATAACTTTCTTTTTCTTGGATATTGATAATAGAATTTAAAAAGGGTTAAGCATAGGAGGATAAAGTTCAAAGCCTTTTAGACGAGAGCTAGACAGGTAAAAGACCCAAGAAATATCACAGTGGGGTTGGAATGTCAAAAGAAATAAAAAAAAAATTATAGACGAACTAGGTAAAGCTCTTTAAAGAAGCTAAGAAGCATGTCAAATGACTTGGGGACAACGTGTGAGTAGGAATTGACTTCAGCTTAAAGTCCAACTTTGGCCAGCTAAATTTGCATAACAAGCAGATAAATAGCCCATTTAATTAGGCCAAGGCACACAACCTGGATGTAAATCCCAACCCCGCCTTCACAAAATACTTACAAAACATGATCAAGGAGTGACGACTTCGTTCTTTCACCATAAAACTTAATGAAACGAGAAAGAAATAGAAAAATCTGATCGAGCAGTAGTGTTTACAAGTAGACAACAATATTTATAAATTAAAACACGCCACTCTCCAAGAACAAGAAATCTGATAATCCAACGGTATTTGTCAGGCATTTTTCAGTTGAAAAAAAAAGAAAAAAAAAAATCTGTATGGAGAAGAAGCCCAATGAGCATTACAAAGCCCGCTGCAAACTGAAACATTGTTGTTCGTATCAAACAATTGCAGCATGAAAACTAAATTTCAGAGTCCGGGTCTGAATGGAAGAAAAAAATGTAGAATATTACATATCTATAAAATATATTTAAAAATCAGCAAAAGTATAATTTTAAAGTGCACCATTGAAACACGCAAAAGATTCATTAGAATTAGAATTTAATTATGTAGGTGCAACATGAAGAAATGTGGATAATAGAGAAAGGGCTACAACAAACTTAGCCCTTGCCGCAATAAATTGAGGATCGTCTATATACTCCTTGATCTAAACCCTAACCTTGGAATCATTTAATTTATGCACAAAATTTCAAGTATATTGGTACAAATGGTTGCGAAAATAAAGGTAGTAGGGTGACAGCATACCAATGCGGAGCCATCGGGCAGCCCAACTCCTAGTTGGGTCCATGACTGATATAATCCTGTATATAAAACACAGCTACAGAATGTTAGATACAGAAATAACATAATTATGCAAAAGAATAAAACAAGGAAAAACTAGGCTGAATTCGCAATTAATTTGAGGTCGACTACCCAAAACCGTTTATCATACCATTCATGTCAATGTCGACCTACCAAAACCCTACTCTACTCCTCGGACTTGGGAAAAAACAAATGCAAAGAATGAAGGGTAACAAACTTTAGCGATGCAAGAAAAACCAACGAAAAACTCGGAAGCAAAACGATGCCAAAAACAAACAGACCCAGTAAAGTTAGGAGTGGTGCAGTCGACAACCCGCTCGTGATCGTCTTCCATCTGAAAGAAAGGGCAATTCTCGCAACCGGATTCACGAAACTGCAACAATAATTCAAATAGGAGTAATACTGTCATTTTTATTCGGTACTTAATTGACAAGAAAGAGAACAGGAACGAGAAAATTTCCCTTTTTCTTTCGGGTAGGGTTTAAGGGGGTATAGCCAACCTGGTCGTATGTCTTGACGAGACGGCAGCGAAGGCAGGATCTAAGCTCGTGGCCGAAACTAGTAGGTATCTGTGCCGCTGGTGGAGGTCCTCCGCCCTGATTTGCCATTCTCCCTTTCGCTCGCTCGCACTGGTGCTTTCTCTTCTACAGACTACAGCATTTGTTGAGATAATTATCCAATGGTGACTTAACCTTTTGTGAAAATTTAAAATGTTGACTTTTAACCACGGAATTTTAAAAAATATTGTACATTGTTAATTAAATTTTAAAAAATGTTATACATTATTCATTATAAATTCGTTATTTTTCAAAATTTAGTAAGTAACGTATGATATATTCCAAAATTCAGCGGTCCAAAGTCAACATTTTAAATTTCAATTAGCAATTGATGACATGAATCTAAGTTTAGTGAGCAATCGAAAAATGAACCTAAGTTCAGTGATCAATCAAAAATATGGACCTAAGTTTAGTGATCATTGGAACAATTAACACGCATTTATTCGCAATTAATTTGGGATTTTTGTGAAAATTGCAGCAGCGATTCCTAACTTTTTCATTTTTTTTAGATTTTACCCTAACTCTTATTTTGTACCACTTACAATCTCAAACCTTTTAAAAATATATATTTAAAGTCCAACTTGATGGAATCACCATTAGTCGATTGAGGAAGTCAAAATCTGATCAAATTTGACCAAAATTAAAAATGATAACTTTATATTTTTCTCACATTAAAAATAAATTTAAAAAACCAAAAAAATAAAAATTAACCTTCTTCCTCCTACTCCACTCTTCCCCGTTCCCACCCACACCGACTGTTGATATTGCCACCCAAAGGTTGGCCATCACTGCTACCCACGCATTGTCAACAATACAACCCAAAGGCAGCAACCATCGCCACCCACACATCATCGACATCACCATTCAAAGGCAGTCGCTACTACCCCAATCAGAAATACAATCAACCAAACCAGGCACCCAATCATAGCAAATCAAACTGCCAACCAACCTTAATTGGAACATCAATTGCAACTAAAATGGTTACTCGTGATAGTACAAGTTTCCTCGAGGTTCGCCTAGCTCCATGGGATTCAATTTTCCATTATTTTTCTGTGCTCGAACGAAGAAACGAGAGTTTATAGATTCAAGAAATGATTTCACCATTGAATGTTCACAATTTTTTCATAGCCACCCATTTTCTTCATAGCCACTAGATTGGGGCTTTAGAATACAATCTCCATAGTAGCATTCTGGATTTTCCAAGTAGGGTTGTTGAATTTATGGTGTGTTTGATTACATTAATTTTCCATGGACAATATCAGTTTTCCACCTAAATTTCTATTTAGAGTGTTTGATTGCTATTTTTTTTCATAGAAAACATTTTTCAACTTTTGAAAATATGCCTAATTTTCCTTGTTTTTAAGGAAAACATTTTCTTTGAGTAGAGGTGGTTTTTATTTTCCACAAAAGATGGAAAACATTTTCTTTTCTAGGTGATATTTTCTATGCTAATCAAACACACCCTTAATGTTGGAATCCTATGTAGGCATTTTCAGATTTTTTTTTTTTTTTTTTTTGAATTGAGTTTGTAGTTTAAAAATGGGTAGCTACCAACAATGGTGATGGTGGTGGTGAGGAGATCGATGTTGGCGGTTGTGAATGGTTTCTCTGGTTTTGAATGATTGGAGGTAGAGGAAGAAGGTGGGAGTGGGGGTGTGGTGGTGGCCAGTGGACGGCGATAGGCCACCACTAACGATTTTGACTTGTTTGGAGTGGTGGGGGTTGGAAAGATGATGATGCCCCATTTTCTTTCTTCTTCTTTTTATTTTATTTTTTTATTTATGGTTTATTTATTTATTTTTAACTTATTTACTGGGAGAAAAATGCAAAGTATCATTTTACCCCTTTTAATATAATCAAAATTAGTTAAAGCCCACTTTTCTTGGTCAACTAATTGTTGGAGTACAAATGTATATTTTTAAAAGGTTTGAGATTATGAGTAGTACAAAATGAATGGTAAATTTTGTAAAATATAAAAATGATAGGAATCGCCACTGCAATTTTCCCCATTTTTTGAAAGGGGTCAAGAGAGAGAGAGAAGTAAGTTAATATAAATGACTCATAAATTATGATGTATAAATAGCATTGTTCTAATTTTATTTACATAGTCTTTGTCTGTTCTAATCATTTTGATAAGAGTGCTTTGATCTGGTTTTAAAGTTAATGGAATCGAACCGAACACATGAAACTCATGGAAATTAAACCATAGTTCCATTCCCAACTATTTGATCCGATTCTTTATGTTGAAAAATTATAACAATAAAATATAAAACTACCTTGTCATTTTTGTAATATAATATTAAAAAATATATATATATCAATTAACAAAGTAACAAATAAAAATTCACTTTAAGACAGAAAAAAATGATAAATTATCAAACACAATATGAACGTAAAATCTGGATCGAATGTTAATTCTCTAGAAAATTTATACTATAATATACATAGAAATACATGTAATATTTATAACATGATTATCCTCGATGGCCAACCACTTTGAAAGCAACAGAGAAATTCGAAAAAATCGAATTTACTATTGGTTCTCAAGACAGTTTTAGGAATTTGATATCATTGACGGTTGTGATAATGAGGACAAGGTTAAGAATGATACCATATGATCTGAAAGAGATAATAGAAATTTTTGAGTTAAAATAAGAGAACCTGATGAAGATGATTTGGATGAAGAGGAGTTTGAATTGAAATTCGATTAAAAGTTAGACAATATTCAAAATTTTTAAGTCTATGTTCATATTTAATCTAATTGTAGGAATTGATTACTAAATAATTGTAATATTTATGATTGTGATCATTACGTTGTTATTAAAATTTTGAAAAATATGTATAAATTTCAAGTATTGTATAGTATTTGTATTTTTTTGTTTTATTTTAAGAATATAAGCTTTTGTTTGAATTTAAAGAATGCAGTAGTTTATTTATTTATTAATTTAAAATATTAAAAATTGAAAAATGCAAAATTACAAGTATACTTCGCGAAGTCGCGTAATGTAATGCTAATGCTCGATTCAAATGTTGTCACGCATTATGGATTTTAAAATGTTGATCTACAAGTTGACGCCTACAATCGCCCTTCAGGAATGACATCACTCTTTCAACCCCAACGCCCAAACCTCAATTTTCCCCCATTTTCGGATTTTCCTCTTGCCCGTGGCACTGCTCTACCATTCTTCAAAACCTCTGCGGGAATTTCCATAATCTCAATCAGAAGTGCACGCAGAACCCACAAGTCATGAGCCGCTACGACAGTCGCTCCGCAGACCCCGGTTCCTACCGCGACCGCCGAACGTAATAAACAGTAACCCTCAATTTACATACATGCAATTGTGATATCTACTAAATATCAATTGGGTCTGATTTTTCTTTGTGGAAATGGGTTTTTTAATTTTGATTTTATGGTTCGTGTTATTTTAGTGATTCGGGTTTTGGTGGGGGCTCGAGTTATCGTTCGTCTTCATCATCCTCGATTAAAAGAGATCACGAGGGCCCTTCGGAGGCGCCACAGCGGAAATTGGATATGGATGGGTTGACTCCATCATTTGAGAAGAACTTTTATGTGGAGTCGCCGTCAGTTGCAACAATGTCCGAGAGTGAGGTGGAGGAGTATAGGCTGCGTCGAGAGATTACTGTCGAAGGAAAGGATGTGCCCAAGCCAGTGAAGGCTTTTCAGGATGTTGGGTTTCCAGGTACATCCTGGTGGAGTTTCCTTTCCATGCATAAATTTCAAATACGTGGATAATTGTTATTTTATGCAAGTGGGATTTTCTTGGATTACATGCACTTCTATTGATAAAATTGAGCTGTATCTTTTTTCAGACAGATTGGCTGTTTTGTTAACTTATAATAGCTAGTTTCTGAATTAGTTGGGATTATTTAAGGTAAAGATAAGATGCCCATGTATGTCTGTTCTCCACATTTTTTGGATTTCCCGGACTGCCTGACTTTTTCCGTAATGAAAATATATGAACTATAGCAAGGTCATGAATGCAGAAATTAAAGGCAAAATATAAGAAAAGTTGTTTAAGCTCCAATTAGGCAATTGGAATATTGACTGGAAATGTAAGAAGGATGTTTCTTATAAGAAAATGGAATTTACCTAAGAAGTCTACCGGTGAACCCTTACTGGTGTATTTGTACCTTATTGAATAAAAAATGGATGTATATTAGGGTTATCCTTCCTGAGCAATTTTTTTTTTATTTTTGCCCCCACTAAAGTTATGTTTATTACATATAAATGACAGACTGGATAAGTGCTATTTTTCTATTCGAGCATGCTTGGCTTTATTTATGTCTCGCCAATCTGTTTAAAAGATATAATCAGCTGGCTGGTTTATGCTTAGTATGCCTATGCCTGGTTTTTTTGGGGCTCAATGTCAATTGTGAAGCTGCAGTGAATGCACATGAGATGGAGGGAACCTTCCATGAATGTTTTTAAGATAGAATGTTCTCATGTCACATTACTTTTAAGGCATTTATAGAGTGAAACTGCTATACATCATATGGTCTGAATAAGTTTCTTTTATAAAACTTTACATCAGATCAAGCTCAAATACGTTTCTCCATCAAAGATCTTTCGGGAGGAAAACATATACAAAATGGACTTTTAGTGTTCTACGCTGGGTGATCATTATCTTTTTTATAACATTTCCTCCCCTGTTGCTCTACATGGAGTTAGTCTCTTTTAGACACAGTTAGTTTATTCATTTTGCGAGAAACTCTTCTTTGTTTTTTGTTTTGGTTTTTTTAGCTTAATTTGTTTTTTAAGCTCTTCAATATTGTCAATTCAGATTATGTTATGCAAGAAGTTGTAAAAGCTGGTTTTACTGAACCTACACCTATTCAAGCTCAAGGTTGGCCCATGGCTATGAAAGGCCGTGATCTTATCGGTATTGCAGAAACGGGGTCAGGAAAGACACTTGCCTATCTCTTACCTGCAATTGTCCATGTTAATGCTCAACCATTTTTAGGTATTATGGGTCTAGTCATGTCATTATTATGATATTTTTTCTGATGCTTGTCTGTGGATTTGAATGCATATATCTATATTTATATTTAGGCATCAATATTTTATTTTTCAACCATTTGTCAGCCCTTGGATAACATAGTATATGTGAAATCGTATGTTTTTTTTGGTTAGCTCCGGGAGATGGTCCCATAGTTTTAGTTTTAGCCCCCACTCGTGAACTTGCTGTTCAGATTCAGCAAGAAGCTACTAAATTTGGTGCATCGTCAAGGATTAAGAATACGTGCATATACGGCGGGGTCCCAAAAGGACCCCAAGTTCGTGATCTCCAGAAAGGTAGGTGGTGATTAGCTCAACGTGACTTTACTACTTTATCGTGGTGTTCATGGATCGGGTATCTCCTTCTGCTATTTCTTTATTTTTACTTGTTTAATGTAATTCCAGTTATCATTTCACTTACTATTATCTTTGTTCCTAACTAGGTGTCGAAGTTGTCATTGCGACACCTGGGAGGCTAATTGATATGTTGGAGTCTCATCATACAAACCTGCGAAGGGTTACATATCTTGTGTTGGATGAGGCGGATCGGATGCTAGATATGGGCTTTGAACCTCAGATTCGAAAAATTATTAATCAGGTCTGTTTCTAGACTGATGCTCGAGCATTATAAATATAAGTTCATCAATACTAAGATGTACGGTACTAAAATGAGATTCAGATAAGAGGATATCTGATTATACATCATTGTTGAGGTAAATAATGGGTTAACAACCATTGGATTTTGGCATGCACCTCTCGCTTGTATAATGGTTCTCTTGGTCTGACATAATCCTTTGATTTCAGTTTCTTACTTCAAACATTTATTTACCAGAAAGAAACAATAATAATTTCCGTTTCAGCTGGTTATGGGCATTCACAGAGAATACTATTATGTTATCCATTTGGCTCCAATAGGTTTTTGGGAAACATCACGTGTGCTTGGTTTGTGCTTTGTCTGAATTTCATGCAGAATTAATTTAGGAAGTGTCCGTTCGAACATTGATGCAGCATAATGTGAAAATTCACTTTCCTTTTTATTTTTCTGTTCCGTCATTTTGTTGATGCTAATGTGTACAATTGATTTATTGCTCCATTTCTGCAGATTCGACCAGATCGTCAAACGTTATATTGGAGTGCTACATGGCCCAAGGAGGTTGAACAACTTGCCCGACAGTTCCTTTTTAATCCATATAAAGTAAGTGGACTTTCTTGTGGCGTCGACGAAGCCATGACCTTTACCTGTAACATATATGATGTATAACTCCTGCTTGAATACTAGAGTGCAGTACAGTTATAGTTTTTTTTTTTTTTTAATCTATCTACAACAAATTATAAGCTAGCTAACTTTTTCAGCTCTGCTTGCTAAGCTAGCATGTTCGATTTTGAATTGCCTCAAATAGCTGAAGCTAGCCTTTTCTTTAAGGCTATAAGCTGTTTTGAGACGTAAAACAGATATTTGACTTTTTTGGTTTATGATGAGGACATCTATTTTGGACTATTTAGTTTAGTATTTTATTTGGGCTTATATTATGTTTTTGTATTGGCCCAAGCTTTTTTTTATTTTGATTTGGGCTTGTATAGTGTTTTGGGTTGGTCCAAGCCCAATCTCTTTGTTTGTATATTATATATATGTATGCAGCCTGTTGCATGGGTAGAGATTAATGGAATGAATTGAAAGCTACAGCTTTTCCACCGTCCTCTTCTTTCTCCTTCTCTTCTCTCCTTCTTCCTCCTTTTTTCTAGTTTCTATTTCTCACCTCCTCACTGTTTCTAATTACGTTATGCTACATCAACTTGGTATCAGAGCTCAACCTGGAGTCGGTTGTTTTTCTGCATCCCATAACCTGCATATCCTAGCATCACCATTTTCAAACTTCATATCCAGTAACCATACATGCATATAAGCACAGCCCCTGCAACGTCTAGCATCTTCATCCATTATATATATATATATATATACACCAAGGCAACTTCCAACCCTGCTGCTACAAAACCCAGTCAACAACTCTCTGCCTTCTTCGTTAGTGGCACACTGTATCACTGAGCTACCCACGACTTTACCACCCCGACATCAATAAACAACTCTTACCCGAACTCATACAAGTTACCCAGTAAACCATAATCCAGTCTCTGCCACCCAGCCGCCCACGTATGTTGCAAAATTCATATAACCCACCCGAAAGATTTGACCCCAATAATCCATCTTCCATTTCCAAGAAGTTGAACCAGAAATTAAACCAACCCATTCGTTGCAACTGTTGACCTTCACCTACCCAAGTCACCACATCGTCCACTTCACAAGCCCTATACCTAGAATCAAGACCCGAAATCATCAACCTCGTTGAAAACTTCACAGTAACCTGCACCCTTCAATAGCACCATAGTAATAATACCGTCGACCCAAGCCTCAGACACTTCCGCATCCACCAGTCATCTACAAATTAACTCCAAAATCGCTATATGCCGACTCCAATCCTCACATCCCTACACAACGAAAGTCGAAGAACGGAGAGCTGGGGACGCAGCCTGGCGCAAATGTTAATTTGGGCATTTATTTTCAATTTGGGCCTTTCAAATTGGGCAATGCCTTTGTATTTTGGGCCTCAGTTGTGAATGTTGCCGAGGAGGCCTCAATTGTGAGTTTGGGCCTTTATTAGTGTTTGGGGTTTGATTTGTAACTAGTTTGCTTATTTGATTTTTTAGTTAAAAAAAGGAAAAGAAAAGAAACGAAAAAAAAATAAATTGTATTTTCTAACATTATTTTGCAGATACCTATTTTTTTTCTGTTGATCGATCCAGTTACTTTAGCGAACAAAAAGGGAAGTTACTGTTTTTATCTATATTTGGTCACTGTTAATTTAAAATCGCATCAATTAATTTTCTGTTCTGCTATTACATTACTTTGCCTGAAATTACATGATTGAACCCTTATTAAACCCCACTTTTATCCCACTTATTTTACGTGATTAGATTTTGACCGGTAATTTGACCCTCGCTTTGTTATTTTACATTTATTAGCAGTATTAACTTGCCATATTTGGACTTACTTAATCCCAAACCTTTAGTTTAAATGCTCAAGTTGCTATTTTTCGTTACTTGCACTTGTTCATTGATCTCTCCATCGCAAGTCATTTAACTAGTATTACATTGCATACAGTTACGTAGTGGTCGTCTAGTCACACCTAGTTCTAGTATATTCACCATGGACCCCTCACAGTTTGATGCACTCACTAGACAATTAGCTCAGCTTGTCACTAGCTAGCAACATTTACAGACTCAAATAGCGGCTGTCCAAACCGAGATGACTATTACTCGTGAAGAGAGTAGAGACCTAGTTGCTAGGTTGGACAATTTTGAACAAACCCCTCGTTTGACTGACGCTGATAACTCTGAAGTATCTCATAATGTTCATTATTATCGTCGACCAGGTGGTCGACAACATCGTCGACGTGATCAAAAGAATGGAGATCAGGGCCGTGATCGAGAACGAGGTCATGGCCGTCGCGATAATCATTCTCCTCCACGCCATGACCAGCGTTACTTTAGAAACATTAAGTTAGACGCTCCTACTTTCGATGGTTGTTTAGATCCTAGAGTTTTTACTCAGTGGATTAGAGACATGGATCATTTCTTGGCATGGTATGGAGTCCCAAAGAATTGACGTGTCCAGTTTGCCAGTCTGAAATTAACTGGCACCGCCAAACTCTTCTGGGAAAGTGTGGAGGATCTTCTTGAGAGGCGGCGTGCACCTCCAGTTGGAAGTTGGGAGGAAATGAAGCGTCGCCTTGAAGAGAAGTATTTGTCCTAACCTTACAGGGGTAACTTGTTGGACCAATGGAATACCCTTACACAGGGAAATCGATCAGTGACTGATGAACCTAAATTTGAAGAGTTTGACGATTTGGATGATATTGATGATACCTTGTTAGGTTGCATTCGAACCTTTCGTATAGATCTAGATTTTGTGACCTCTGTCCCCGACTCCTCGCGGCTAAGTGTTGTACGTTGTACCCTCATTCACCCTCAAGATGCTGATGATTGGCGTTGTCACACCATTTTTCACACTTATCAAAATCAATAACAAGAGTTGTAAAATTATTGTGGATAGTGGTAGCTACATTAATGCAGTTTCTGTGGCTACGGTGTCCCGTCTTGGATTACAGCCAGTCCCACATCTTCAACCTTATAGCGTCTCTTTGGTTGACACTTCTTCTATTGCCGTAAACAAGCATTGTTTGGCTCCTATCCAGTTTCTTGAATACAAAGATCATATATGGTGCGGCGTCATTCCCATGGACGTCGGATACGTCATTCTTGGTCGACCCTGGTTGTTCGATTTAGATGTCACTATCTATGGTCGATCAAATTCATGTTCCTTTGTATTCAATGGGAAGAAAATTCACCTTAACCCTTTACTGCCAAAACTTGTTGACTCACAACAGACCAAGAAAATTGTGGAACGAAAAGGGTTACATATGATTAGCCCTACAAAATTTGAGTGTACACTCAAAGAGGATTCTGTTGTGTTTGCCGTGGTCGTCATGGAAGTTTCATCGGTATCTCGAATATTGACCCCTGATGGGGTCCAATCAGTTCTTCGAGAGTTTCAAGATGTCTTTCCTGAGGACCTCCCTGATCTATTGCCCCCTTTACGGGAATTCAACATGCTATAGATCTTGTCCCTGGATCGTCTCTTCCAAATTTACCTCATTATAGAATGAATCCTACTGAGCATGCTGAGCTTCAGAGGCAAGTAGAGGAGCTCCTTCACAAATGATTAATTCGTGAGAGTCTAAGTCCTTGTGCGGTTGCCGCCCTTTTGACTCCTAAGAAAGATGGTTATTGGAGAATGTGTGTTGATAGTCGTGTCATCAATAAGATCACAGTGAAGTACCGTTTTCCAATCCCTAGACTTGATGATATATTGGACATGATGGTCGGTGCCACGATATTTTCTAAGATTGATTTAAAGAGTGGGTACCACCAAATTAGGATTCGCCCAGGTGACGAATGGAAGACTGTCTTTAAAATAAAGGATGATCTTTATGAGTGGTTGGTCATGCCTTTTGGGCTAACCAATGTCCCGAGTACTTTTATGAGAGTAATAACACAAGCTTTGCGATCGTTCATGGGTAAATTCCTCGTTGTCTACTTTGATGACATTCTCGTGTACAGTAAAACTAGGGGAACAACATAGAGATCATCTCACGGAGGTTTGTTCTACCCTTCGCGCTACAAGCTTGTATGTTAATGTGAAGAAATGTTCTTTCTTCACAGATAAAGTTGTATTTCTAGGTTTTATTGTCTCCACGACAGGAGTGTCTGCTGACCCTACAAAGATTCAAGCCATTGTTGGTTGGCCTAAGCCCAAGACTATACATGACATTCGGAGTTTTCATGGTTGAGCTACCTTTTATCGTTGTTTCATTAAAGGGTTTAGCACGATCATGGCTCTTATTATGAAGTGCATGAAAAGAGGGGAATTTTATTGGTCGCACGAAGCGGCCAAAGCATTTAAGTTGGTTAAGAGGCAAATGACAGAAGCTCCAATCATGCGACTTTCCGATTTTTCCAAAGTTTTTGAGATAGAATGTGATGCCTTTGGAGTAGGAATAGGTGGAGTTTTGAGCCAAGAGCGCTATTCTATTGCTTATTTCAGTGAGAAATTAAATGATGCCAAACAACGGTACTCGACTTATGACAAGGAGTTGTATGCAGTCGTACAAGCTTTATGCAATTGGCGTTATTACTTGTTGCCCCAGAAATTTGTTCTTTATTCAGACCATGAGGCACTTTGCTACCTTAATTCCCAAAAGAGGTTGAATGCTAGGCATGGTCGTTAGATCGAGTATTTGCAGGCTTCCTCTTTTGTTTTGAAGCATAAAAAGGGCAGTGAAAATCAAGCGGCGAATGCTTTTAAGCCGTCGCATTTCACTTTTAACCAATATGAGTGTCAAGGTCATAGGTTTTAAACGACTCAAAGAAGATTATGAGTCATGTTCCGATTTCAAGGACCTTTTCCTTGCGTTGCAAAGTGGACAATTGGATGCTACTGATGATTTTCGTCTAGAGGATGGTTATCTTTTTAGGTCCAATAAATTGTGCATCCCTCGGATTTCAGTACGAGACTTTATAATTTGGGAAAGTCATGCGGGAGGCTTGGTTGGGCATTTTGGATGTGATAAGACAATCGAAGAGGTTGAACGTAAATTTTATTGGCCTCGTTTGAAGACAGATGTAGCTAAGATTGTTAGTGCTTGTAACACCTATCAGTTGGCCAAACAGAAGAGACAAAACACTGGTCTTTACACACGTCTTCCCATTCCTAGTTGTCCTTGACAAGACGTCAGTATGGATTTTGTACTAGGACTCCCACGTACTCCAAAGAAACATGATTCTATTTTTGTTATAGTGTATCGTTTCTCGAAAATGGCCCACTTTATCCCTTACAGCAAGATTTCAGATGCGTCTAAGGTTGCTAGGCTGTACTTTAATGAGATTGTTAAATTGTATGGCCTTCCTGAGACCATTGTGTTGGATAGGGATGTTTGGTTCAGTAGCCACTTTTGGAGAACCTTATGGCACATGGTTGGCACTAAGTTGAAATTTTTCACTGCGTATCATCCTCAGATCGATGGTCAAACTGAAGTTGTTAATCGCAGTCTTGGTAACCTATTAAGATGTATAAATCAGGAAAATCTGAGGAACTAGGATTTAATCCTCCCGATAGCCCAAATTGCATATAACAGTTCTATGAATCAATTTTTAGGCATAAGTCCTTTTGAAGTTGTTCATGGTTATACACCTAGGAAGCCTTTAGACCTTATCTCTATGTCCCCACATGCTAATGTGTCTGTGTCAGTTGAGGCATTTGTACAACATCTTCATGACTTGCATATTGAGATCAATAAATAACTAGAGGCAAGTAATGCATCATATAAATTTCGAGCTGATTTGCATAAACGATATGTTGAGTTTAAAATTGGGGATTATGTGATGATCTGAATTAGACCGGAACGTCGTCCATTTGGATCTGCTTCCAAATTGCAAGCCCGTAGTTCTGGTCCTTTTAAAATCTTAATGCGTGTTGGTTCAAATGCGTATGTCATTGATCTTTGATCACATTTTGGCCACCACTCTACTTTCAATGTTGAGGATTTAGTTGCTTATAAAGACCATTTTAAGCCCTCTGATGACCCTTTTCTACCCCTGTCTATTGACTTTCAACCCGAACCTATTGCTACCCCTATTTCAACACCCCCTGTCACAATACCCAAAGATAAGATTGATGCTATTTTAGATGAAAAGATTATGTTGACCAATGATAGAGAAATTCAGTGCTTTCTTGTTCGTTGGGTTGGACAATCTGACTCTGATTGCACATGGATCCCTAGAGAGATATTCCAACAACTTGATCCTGACTTGTTGGAGCTTTATGGGAATCATCATGATCTTCTATTACCTAGACCACCTATCACACGTGTATATGGACGTCGAAAGAGGTTTGTCCAACGACTCAACTTATGGTTGGGCGACTGATTGCAGCGTTTTGTGAGTTATTCTCTCGACAGAGTCGAGTTTTCTCCCACCCCGGGAGAGTTTATGAGGACATCTATTTTGGGCTATTTAGTTTAGTATTTTATTTGGACTTATATTATGTTTTTGTATTGGCCCAGACATTTTTTATTTTGATTTGGGCTTGTATAGTGTTTTGGGCTGGCGCAAGCCCAATCTCTTTGTTTGTATATTATATATATGTATGCAGCCTGTTGCATGGGCAGAGATTGATGGAATGAATTGAAAGCTACAGCTTTTCCACCACCCTCTTCTTTCTCCTTCTCTTCTCTCCTTCCTCCTTTTTTCTGGTTTCTATTTCTCACCTCCTCACTGTTTCTAATTACATTATGCTACATCAGGTTATAATAAGCTTCCAGAAGCTAAAAACTAGAATGGGGTTTAGCTAATTAGATGGAGTTGTTACCGAGTCGTTGGCAGTGCAGGAATGGCGTCACAACATTTGATTGTGTGGTAGCACAAGGGAAAAATATTATTGGACATTGTGTCAGTTATTTTGCAGTTATGTATTACCAAACTCCGACTTCTCTCTTGCAATTAGAATTTCTCCATCAAAAATTTTTTGGGTAGTTTTTTTCAGCGTATTTCTAATAGCAAAGTCCAACAGTAGTACTAAAAACTAGATCGCCCTTTCCTAACAAATGTTTGAGTAACATGAATGAAAAACATGTTGAGTTGAATGCTTTTGCCTTATTCTTTAATAGAAGCATGAAAATAATCCCAAATCAGTCAGCTCGTTCAAGCTTGGCTTGAAGAAGCTGGAAGTATAATGTAGCGAAGCTCCAAGCAATGTCTAAGGCTCTTTTATAAATCAAGATGAGTATGATATCATAAAGATTTGATTGAGTTGGTTCATAAAGCCATGCAACTTCTAAGTTACTGAGTAATATGTGATGGATAATTTTTATTTTCTATATTATTTTGTTTGGGACAGGTGATTATTGGTTCTGCAGATTTAAAGGCCAATCACGCAATTCGCCAGCATGTTGAAATTGTTTCCGAGAACCAAAAATATAATAAGTAGGCCAAGTTTCTAAACTTATTTTCTGGTTTCACTTCTGTACCTTATGAAGTCTAGCATTTGTATCCTGTATGTTGGATTCATATTTGAAATTTGTCCATAAATACAGATTAGTGAAGTTGTTGGAGGACATTATGGATGGTAGCCGGATTTTGATATTCATGGACACCAAAAAGGGCTGTGATCAAGTAACTAGGCAGCTTCGTATGGATGGTTGGCCTGCACTATCTATTCATGGAGACAAAAGTCAAGCAGAAAGGGATTGGGTCCTCTCAGAATTTAAAGCTGGCAAGAGTCCCATAATGACAGCTACTGATGTTGCAGCTCGGGGTCTAGGTATGTCTAGGGCTTGCAAAGTAAAAGTTAGAATGATCTTTAATGGCTTCTTTGTTTTAATATTTGTTAGCGGTGTCTGTTAAATAAATACAGATCTAGGTATTCTTAGATTAGATAAATTGTAAAAACATGGCTTAATAATACATTTGGTTAAAAAGACTCGACCGACAAACTTTAGGTCTTGGAACTGGACTACTACTTTAGGATGAAGTATTTTATTCGATACAGTTTGTTTTTGAACCTGGCAGATGTGAAGGATGTGAAATATGTCATCAACTATGATTTCCCTGGATCTCTCGAGGATTATGTTCATCGTATCGGTCGAACAGGAAGGGCTGGTGCCAAAGGAACGGCATACACCTTTTTCACGGTTGCAAATGCCCGATTTGCAAAGGAACTCATTAGCATCCTCGAGGAGGCTGGACAGAAGGTTAGTCCGGAGCTTGCAGCCATGGGACGTGGTGCACCTCCATCCTCAGGTGAGCCTTACACATGTACATACATTCTTTTATCATTTTGTTTGTGAGAACTTGTTTGGAAAAAATAAATACGCTAACATTAATTGGTCGGTGTTGAATATAAGTTATTTATTTTGAATGTATCCCTTGACAAGAAGGTGCTTAGAAGTAACTCGAGTCTGAATCTAATAGTTTCTTCCTGCACCATTAATAGGTCACGGAAGTTTCCGAGATCGTGGGAGAGGTTTCGGCAGTGGACGTTCTTGGAACTGATGAAGTGCTTGATACGAATACGATGGGAGAAAAATTGGAAAGCTTCAACAAACGTAAGCTTGGAGATTTGATCCTGCCCAAAATAGTATTGTAATTTTACTAGTCTTCTATGTGTAATATTTGAATAGAAAGTAGATTTAAGTTCAAATTAATGTTTATTAATTTCCTAGACGTTCATGTAACACTAATTGTGCCTTGCTCGAAGTATAAGACTCATTCTTTGTCGAGTGAGCTTACTTAATCCTATTTAAATTTGTAGTAGATTTTGATAAAAATTGATGAAATATTTGGTTGAGAAGTTGATAAAAGTTCTAGATTTCATGAAATGTGTGCTTGAAAAAAAATGAATTTTATGGAAGTGGTGCCAAACAAGGGCTTAAATTACAGGAGCAATTAAGCGAGATGTAGATGGGATTATGATAATCTCTTTCGAGGAAACTTATCTTTTTCCTTTTTTTTTAATCTCGTCTAGGACCCTGCAATTCCCATATTTTTGGCTTATTAGTCAAGCCCTGCGGGAAAAACCATAAACTTATTTGCCAAACCTGGTCTTATTTTAGAAAGCAAGCGACAATGCCCAAGGCTATGCACCAGAGTCCAGCAAAGTAGACCAATAAGGCAATGATCGAGGAAATGAGTCCGGTTGATACGACGTCGTACGGGAGTGCTGGTTGCTCACCCCGAAGGTCTTCCCCAAAACCCAATGAAATGAAAAAACATCACATTGATGGTTTCATCTGAAAAATTGTAAGCAATTTCAAAGAGAGAGAGAGAGAATTTAACTAAGGTTTTTCAACGATGAGCGAAGGGCCGAAACTCTACGCCAACAAACCCAAGAAAGGTATATATAATTTAGGAGCTTGTTCTGAGGAAAAAAATATTTAATTCCCTTTTCTTGTAGCTTTTGATTTTCAAATTATTTGTTCAATTTGGTTTTTCCATTACGGAACGATTAACAGCTCAGCGGAAGCAATATCAGCAACAACAGGCATCTGCACCGTCGTCGATAGCGTCGTCGGGGTCGTCAACGGGATCTCAGGCTGCTATAACTCCCGCTCCTCCTCCTCTTCCGCCGACACCGCCACCTCAGCCGCCTAAAGAATCATTTGCCCGTCGCTATAAGTTCCTCTGGCCACTTCTATTGGCTGTCAATTTCACTGTTGGAGGTCTGTTTCGGTGTCTCTATTTATATATTTATGTTTCATGTATTTGTAGGCAAACGTTGTCTTTGAATGTTGAATCTTGTGTGTTACGTTGGCTGCGTTTGATGAGTGTTTCATTTTTACTGGGCTCACTCGGGAATGACTATCTATTTTGGGGTTTTCATATTTTCCCTATCTTTGCTTTTTCCATCAGATATTGTTTTTGGGATTCATATTTAAAAATTAGTTTTCGGATTTGGGAGATATCTGTGACAGCACTCATACCAACATGAGGGAAATGCTGTCAAGATTCAAGCTATCGGAAGAGGGACCTATATTGGTGGATTTTGATGTGCAATAAATAGAAAATTACTGATTTGGAAGAATGGAGAGGGTGTCGGTTGATACACTAATTGGTGCTCCAAAATCGCAATAATTGTTTTGCCATGATTTGTTTACTGATTTATTTTTACTTCATATTACGTAAGATGGAGGAATGTACTGAATTTATGCTAATTTCTTGTATTTGGTTTAAAGGGGAATGCGTTTTCTAGTGATTGATGACGGAAGCTCATATAAGCTCTATAGAAGAGGGGAAGGGGAGAGAAGAAGAGAAGAGGAGGGAGAAAGGGGAGAGGAATCAGAGAGAGAAGCAAAAATTGGATGAGTGAAAATAGTCTCATTCATTAATCAAGTCTTAAGTAATAAAATTCATAGACCCTCTCTATATGGGATTTCAAGCAAAATATAATTTGAGAAGGAAAACAGCTAAAGCAGTTATGTGGAATACTAGAAAATCTTTAAAGCTAAACCTTAATTTCTTTTCTAAATAAATAATCCCAAACACGCTTTTCACTGCTATAAGGATTCGCACTTTTTGAAAAAGTAATACTATTCAGCGCCATTGGTGGCGACTGCCTGCGTTCAAATGATAGATTCACTTATGATATCAAATGATTCATTTAATTGAACCTATCAAGTGTGACCACGTAAACTGATATTCTAGCACCAGTCTATTTGGAAGCTTGAGGGACCATGAATTTGTGTCCTTGTCCTTTAATGGCTGATATATTCATGGTTTATTTTTATGGTACAATCAAGAATTTATGTTTAAGAGTTTGCAGGTACCTTAGTTGGCCCATAGTTACACTTAATTTCTGAAGAAAATAATCCTTCCTTTCTTTTCAAGTTTTCCTATTAGTAGATTTCAACTGTAATTTTTCCATTCTACTTTCCTTAATTGTTTTGCCCTTTGAAGTTGCTTATTCTCTTCTTTTTGCAAATTGGTTTGAAAACTTTTGTGGCGATTTTCGAGGTACACTTTTGTACTCGTGTTTTATTAGCATCCTACTAAGTTTCTTATATTACTTTTCTCTTTTTAAATAATTATCTATTTCTAGAGCAATCGTTTTCTTTTCTAGTTTCTCTGAGGTACTGTGGGAAAAATGAAATTATGAAGTGGGTTTTGCTATTGTGTGAATCCAGGCTATTGACGTGGGTAGTAGACCATTTGAAATGATGCTTGATGCTACCAAAAATCGTACCTGCAGATTTTCCGAGCTTGATGATTTGAATTAAGCACGATCGTAGTCTTTCGGTACCTGAAACAAAGGCAACGAGGTATGTTCTTGTTGCCCCTCCGATGCTTAAGTCAGAAAGAGAATTATATGCGTGAGGCTATAAATTGGAGAATAATGAAAACGTACCTGAATAATAGCTCAAGGTTCTGTATTTATAGTAGTAAGCGACATTCTCCTAGTGGGACTCAACTAATTGGGTATCTCTATCCAACGGAGTCCTATTAGGCGAAGGAACTGGACCAATGCCATAATTATGTGTGGGATAGAATCCTTGCGGGAGTCAAGTATATGGTTGAGTTAGAGTCCTAATTGCATAGGAATTCTAAAGGGTCAACAATCGTAAGTTATGAGGAGAGTATATATGCTCGAGGACAAGCATCGTAACATGTTAAAGCAGCAAGACAGGGAGTGCTCGAGCATAATCCCTCGGGTTGAGTATATGCTCGAGCACTCCATATGTGGAATTGCATGTTCATCCAAGATTTGTCGTCGGGATAAATGATCGAGCACTCACGACCTGATATCATAAAAGGGTAGCGTACTCCTTGGGATAATATAGTGATCGAGTTATCCCGGAATGTCAGTATCATTGGGCCCCGTGCACATATGCTCGAAGCCTTCGCTCGAAGATATGATGCAAAGAGGTTTGAAGGTAAAAAGCTTGGGTACGTGAGCTCGAGGGAGTTTTTTGAAGACTAGTGTTCAGAAGGGCTGACGTGTACTGAGGTAAGCCCTAATTAAGAAAAGGCGGTAAAAATGGTATGGGTTGGATGTTGGACACGTGGCCAGATCTAATGGTCGGGGTAGTGACTTTTAGACTACCTGCTCCTGTTGCCTATAAATACCTTCTCCACATTTCATTTTTCACTTTTCACTCTCAGTAAACTTCTCGTGCCAATCGTCGGGATCAGAACTTTAGTGGGGTTTTTAGGCATCGACTTTAAGGTAAGACCTCGAGATCCTAAGTTATTATTTAGGCACTTTTTTACCTAGATCAGGATGTCTAGTGGTAGTGGTAGTAGTAGTAGCGAGTCTTCGTCCTCTTCCTTGAGGAATACTCCCGAGGACGGAGGATGCTCGATCATACCCATGGCCGTCCTTGTTAATGCCCAACCTCGGGCACAAAGTATCCTGACCCCATTTAGGTACCTCGAGATCCCTTGTAAATTTAAAGAGCATCTAGCAATATCGACGGCTAGGGAGCACGGGCTCATGCCGAAGTGTGATATTATGACACTAGGGGGAGAGGACAAGATGGCCTTTGCTTGGGATGGAGAGTTTGTAATTTTTAGGGACTCACTAAAGGGTGGATTTAGATGGCCTCTGCACCCCTTCTTTGTGGCTTTATTGGTCGAGCAAAACATGAGCCCTGGACAGCTCGTGCCAAATGGGTGGAGGATGCTCACCTACTTTTTTATAGTTTGTAGATACCTAGGAATTAACCTATACATCGATCTTTGTAGAATGGTCTTCGACTTGAAATAGCTACTTCAATATACTTGTTTTGCCTACCTTTCATCTCGAGGAAGTTTTAGATTACCAAGGATGGAGTTCATTGAAAGGGTGGAAAGAAAAGTGGTTTTATGTCGTTCCTCAGGATAGTGACTTTCCTTTTAGTCCTAGGTGGGTTTTGCCCGACACTACCAAGTTTTGTGAAGGCCAGGCCTATTTTGAGTCTTTAGAAAGGCATAGGGAGATGTTAGAGAACCTTGAGCCTCTTGTCTATGATATAGATGACATCCTTGGGGATGACGTTCTCGATCTTGCGGATGTGGAAGGCACTGAGGGTAGGGATCATCTTTTTGCCTTCTTCCTCATCGATCTGTCTTTGAATGTATAATTGTGCTCATGTCAATGACTTGTTCTTGCAGAGATGACTTTCGATCCTTCAGCCCTTAAACAAACTGTGAATAAAAAGTTAAAGGCCCTTCAGGCTCGAGCTTCAGGTCAAAAAAGAGGGAAGAAGAGAGCTCATGATTCAGGTCCCGAGAATATTAGGAGTGGGCCAGGCGAACCTTCTGCCCGGGGACAATCCCCGATCATTCACGATCATGAAACTCCAATTGCCACTCCTCTGTCACGTCCTCGATCAAGGAGTACCCCCGAGGTTGTAGACCTCGAGGATGAGGTCCCTTCTGTGCCTTCATTCCAAAATCGAGATCCGGATTGGTGTCCTCTGGTGTCGAGCATCGTGGACAAATATCGAAAGGACCTCGGCTTCGACGAGGGCATGAAAGCTCTTAAATCCCTTACGCTGAAGGTAAGCTCGCTCAACTTACTTGGTGTAATTTATGGGTTTATATGATGTGATCGTTTAAGCTTGGGTTTTATATATTGCAGACTCTGAGTATTGCCTGAGGCCTCTCTCTGAAGGGGAAAGACGAGGCATAGAAAACTGCTGAGCTCGAGGATACTTCTCGAGCACATGAGAAGAGGATAGCTGACATGGAGGCTGAGCGCTTCCTTCTCTAGAGGGAGCGCGATGACACGAAGAACGATCTTCAGAGAGCCCGGGAAGAGGCTGGAGTGGCCAAGGGCGAGGCCGAGGACTTAAAGCTCGAGATCGAGCGTTTGAAGAAGGATTTTGAAGCTCGCCTGACTGAAGCTCGAGGCATTGCGATCGAAGATTTCAAAACGTCCGAGGAGTTCAGTGGGCTGAAGGGAGAGTACCCCATCGGCTCGTACTTCCACGCTTTGAAAGAGGCTCAGGCATTTTTACGGTCGAAGCCTGATGCAAAGCCCGAGGGTTTAAAGAACATCCCTGAGGTTGCTGAAGACCTCGAGCTTTCAGAGTCCGAGGAAATCATCGAGGACCAGGAGGTAGATATTGATGGCGAGGACATGGTGGAAGAGCAAGGAAGCTCGGCTTCGGGAGAAGGAGCCGAGGACCTAGATTAGTTTCTGTTTTCTTTTTGTTTTTGGATACTCCTGGCTCTTGTACTGATTAATCAGTTTTTGAATCAATGTGTTCTTCCCGAGCTTAACTTGCGTTTCTTGCTATGTTATTTCGATTATGTTTGCTCGAGCTTTAAGTTCATTTGAGAACTATACTAAGTGATGTGACCTATCTCGACATTAAGAGAATCCATAACTCGACGCCTAAGATGATTTAATAATTCGACGCCTAAGATGTATTAATATCTCGACGCCTAAGATGATTTAATAACTCGACACGCCTAAGATTATTAATATCTCGACACCTAAGATGATTTAATAAGTCGACGCCTAGACAAATTAAATAACTCGACGCCTAAGATATATTAATATCTCGACGCCTAAGATGATTTAATAACTCAACGCCTAGACAAACTAAATAACTCGACGCCTAGACAAATTAAATAACTCGACGCCTAAGATGTATTAATATCTCGACGCCTAAGATGATTTAATAACTCGACGCCTAAGATGTTAATATATATCGACGCCTAAGATGAAGTTTTAACC